GAGAGAGAGAGAGAGAGAGAGAGAGAGAGAGAGAGAGAGAGAGAGAGAGAGAGAGAGTTGGAGAGAGAGAGAGAGAGACACCCGGCTCACCATTTTTTTTTTTTTTTAGCAACACATACCACGCCCCAACAATTTCAAATTCGCAATTTGGGGGGGGTTGTATTTTTTTCTAAAACCCCTCTGAAAACCAAATTATCATGGCTATGATCCGGATGCCCGCACCACCGTCCAGAGGATCTGGATGCAGTCCGGACTCCAGATGTCCGGTCCGGAAGGTCCGGATCTGCCATAAAAAAAAAAACAGAAAAAAAACGGCCCAGGACGCTTCCCCACTGAGGAGCCAAGCCCCCAAAATTGATTTGTTTTTTTTTCAGGCGCATTTTTGTTTTTTCGGGGGGTCCGGACATGGTCTATCTCTATAATAATTTATTACTGATACCCGAGTAATGAATTATTAATCATTCGTTACTTTTTAAACTCTTTTTTGAAGTTTATACAGTTTTTGACTTTTAACTGAAGCTTGGTTAGGATTTTTTTTTTTTTTTTTTTTTTAAAGAAAATCATCTTTTATAAAACCGGGAAATTTGGTTAGGAATTCTGACACGAGTCTGAGGCAAAAGTGGTTTGAACTGTTATTCTGCAAAACTTCTTTTTTTTCAGTTTTTTTTTTTTAATGTTCCGGACATTTCCGGGCCTGCTTAGCGACCCGGACCGTCCGGGACCAGTCCGGAGGGTCGAATAAGTTCGGAAGTCCGGGCCTGGCCGGATATGCGCTCGGTCCCCGGGCATGAGCTGACTGGGTTCGGGTCCGGCGTAGCCATGCAAATTATTGACCCCCCCCCCATTTTTTTTTTATTTTTTTTTTTGGGAAAATTTAATTTTTATATACAGCAGCAGGAACAGTCTAAGCATGAGATATTTTTAAATGACTGATGTTTTCTTGAGAGGACCTTTTCACTGCTGTATTTTTTATTTTTTATTTTTTTTTACTGCTGTATTTTGAGTGGTTCAAGGCCTACCACCTTGGATGCGTACACACCCCTTTCCCTTCCAGCACACTTGCATCTTATCGTTTGTAAGCATGCTCATTGGTATGCAGTTAGCAGTTGGGCATGGAGAACAGGAGTAGAAGAGGGAAGGAAAAGGAAGGTAGGGCATAAGGGGAGGGAAGGCATAAAGAGAGGGGAGGCAAAGAGGGATGGGAGAAAGTGAGACAGTAAGGAAATGGAAAATACTAGTATGTGCGTGTGTGACCGTCTCCGAGCGTGTTCGCGGGATTTGTGTTAGAACTCTAAGCATAAGTCCAACGACACAGCATGACTATAAGAGTTAGCTTCGTCTAATTTCAAGGGGATGTGAGCGTGCATCCATGTGTGTGCGTGGAGGACAGTATCTGCCTGGAAGACTGACCAAAAGGCAAGCAGGCATACACATTATCCAGACCGGCAGCATGATCCCTTCATGCTAGATCTTCTATATGGATGGACGTTGGGGAGAGAGAGAGAGAGAGAGAGAGAGAGAGAGAGAGAGAGAGAGAG